TAATTCATTCTTAATTGTACATATTTTACCTGGTATTTTCAATGATGTATACCACGAGTTTATTCTAACCTATAACAAGACCTCACCATATATAGATGCAGATTCTTGCCTGAGTGGCACATGATGAATCATAACGCTGGACAAATATATACCAAATAGTACCAAATTAGTCGTGAAACATTTGGAAGGTAGTACTAATAGGCTCAAAATGGCGCTTAGACTAGTGATATTAAGCCTACAGAGATACATTCTGAGCCTTCCTGGTCAACACCTTGCTTTTGATATAAAGTGCTAACATTATATACAATTTCCACATAGAAAAATGCTCTGCTCTCTCAAAAGAAGCTGAGTATTTAAGGGTGTGTGTTCTTAGTAAATACCACTTATTATAAATTTCAGTAATGAGAGTCATTAAAAACTGAATTAAAGTCAAAATTTTAATTACTTTTTAAAACTATTCATGTCTTTAAAATAATATTGTTTAGTTACTGAACTTAGGTAGGTAGTGTGGATAGGAAAAGTGAGCCATGATTCTCACTCTTAGGGAGCTGACAGGTGGATGCTCCTTCTTCATCAAGGAATGCCAAGGAATTGAAGAGAACAAACAGGCCAACACCTCAGACTATCTTGTAAGGTTCAAATATAACATAAATGTTGCAGGTTAGTTAACTAGGGGTTAATATTTTAGGAGGTCAGCTTCTAAAGGGCAGGGAATATCCTAGATATGTTCTATGCTTATGTTTCTCACACTAGAGTCAATTGTGTACTGGGATATGCAGCAATTGGGGGTGGGGGCAATGAGGGAGAAAATTGAGAGGCCATGTGATAAACACGGTGCTCCTTTCTGGTATATCAGTTTCATTCAAGATTGAAGATTTCACTTTTATATTAAATAGTTTTATTAGGAGAAGGCAAAATTAAAGCCAGAACACGAAATTTCATCATCAGTGGTAGGCTGCTTCCGATTTTGCTCTCAGGCCTCCTTCCCCTTCCTTCATGTTCCTCTGATTTAGGGTTCTGCTGGTGAAAAAAAACTGAGAAGCAAACTCTAGATATGTCCCTTTGCCCCATTAATTGGCCACTTTATTCATTCTTTTAGGTTCTCTTCTTTAAGTACACAGTCTTGACTTAACCAAGAGGAAAGATACCTTAGTGAATGTAATAGTATGTGAATATTTAAAAATAACCAATAATCAACATTAATTATGTTTCCAAATGGAACTAAAGTCATGCTTTGTAGAGTCAAACAATGAACCAGCCTCTTCTTTTTATTTAGACTTATGATTAATGGTAAAATGCTTTGAGAGACAAATATAAGAAAGATTTCCTCAAATTGTGCACTTTGGCTGCCCAAAATACAAGGAAATCTCAAATGAAATTCTAGAACAAGTGACCATTTTGGTTAGAATGACTACTTCCTCATCAGTTTCTAGAGTAAGCTCAGAAAACAAGTGAATTGTAAAAAGCTATAATAAATTAACATATAGTAGTATCCAGACAGACTAAAACAGGCTATGAAATAGATTTAAAATTACTTCTTATAAGAAATCTTAAATATTTTTATAATAGTAACAAAATTTTAAAAGTTCATAAACAGTTTATGAATAAGTTTAAAGCACTCTGAATGAAAACAGTTAAATTTCTTATCAGTGAGGTAATAGGGAGAAAGCTTTTCACAGTAACAAAATGTAGACGAGTGTGTGTGGCAAAAGAGGGAGGTAGAGAGAAAAAGGCATAAAATTAAATGTATCCAAGAGAAATTTGGATTTTTCAAGCATTACAAACACCAGTGGAATACAACTTAAAAAACAACAACAATATCAGCAGTTCATAGAACAATTTCCCCATCATCCTCCAGCTAACATTCTGTTGCATCAATTTCAGAAGTATCCTGCTTAAGAAATGGAAGATGTATTCTCCTAAATGTCCAATCTCTCAGATCCTCTCTGTGGAAGTTTGTACATCTAAATATCAATATTTTATATTTAAAGCAAAAACCTCAAATATCCTATAACACTATACATTCTTCAAGATGAACACACTTGTGTTCAAGTCTCAATTGATTTGCGAGGTCAAATTAAAAATAACATCGAAGCAGGTCTTTATTCATTGCATTCACGCATATACTATTTAAAACACACAAAAAATGTCTTTTGAGCTAAAGCTGTGTAGATGTGGAGTGAAACCCAAATGATACTGTTAGTGTTCTTTACAACATCATTTTTGTTCCAACCTGAATTTGAAAAAAAAAATGTGCTGGAAGGAAGGAACCTTCTAAAGTCATTTAGTATCCCTTAACAAAAATTAAAAAACCTTAACTAAAAAAAAAAAAAAAAACTATTTCCTTAAAAGAATAGATTTTTATGACAATCTCTGCCAAAGTTCTTAAACATTTCCTGCTGCCTATTTTTTTTTAATCCCAAATTCCCTCTGGTCTATCCTCACTAGAGAAGGAAAATGGTATAGCAATAGTACTTCTTATTTTGAGTCCTTCAACAAAAACATTGATTAATGATTAATAACTTAGTGTAAATGATCTCAATGGCTTTCTTTTCTCTAGAGTTAAATGAACCTAAATTCTTGAACTTTTTCTTGGAGGTCTTATTTGTATAAAAATTAAATGTATCCAGGCAGAATTTGAATTTTTTCTGTAGTTTATTCTTTTTTATTTTTGCTCTGTCTCCTCCCAAGTTCTCCCATGATTCTGATACAATACCTATCAGGAACTGATTCCATAATAGGGATATTTTTTCTCAGCTCCAAAAACTTGAATAATAAAAGTAAACAATAGGTTCACTGCCTGCTCATCATAACAACAAATAAACACAAGTAAACAACCTTATACACACTTTATTTTCTACCTTTATGGTGTTAGGTTTGTCTTTCATAAGAAGCATTTTATGTGCTGTCTTATTGCCCTTTATATTGTTTAATTTTTATTTCTAATTTATGCTTTGATCTTGTCCTACTTCTTTTCTTTTCCCCAAAGCTTCAGAAAATACCAGTTTTGATTTATGCGCAGAATGAGAATATACGTATTTCCACGATATTTAAAAAAAAATGGCCCAAGGCTGAGACCCCAGGCCTGCATTTCTGTCTCTTGGGAGGTCTCTGAATGTATCCTGTTAGGCAAGGTGCACAATGTCACATTCATGTTAATATCATGCTCAGACAGACTCAAGAGTGTGGACAGAATCAGATAGTTCCTTAGATTTATATAATTCAGGAACCTTTATAAAATTTCGTTAATTTTAACTTTAGATTTAGAATTTTTAGATGAGAATCCAAGCTTCAATGACTTTTCACCTTAAGATGACTTACATGTTACTTTATATTAAAGCAAGCAAATGAAACTATTTTCTTCATAAAAGGATAATCATGACATGGCTTTAGTGGTTCTGAATGGGTTGTTGTATCACTTTAAATTCATTTCAAATATTTTATGACAATCTCTGAAACACAGATACCAAAACCAAATATACATGTTTTTCATATATATATATATAAAACATTGTTCATATTTTGTAGAATATATGCCATTTCCTAAGTTACAATCTACATTACTAAAAGCCAATAAAACAAAAAATGTTTTAAACATTTTTAAATAAAAATTCTACACAAACTCATTCATAAAATGGTGCTCTACATATAGTTACCTGTCTATTATCTGGAATCATACAAGATCCAGCTATAAGAAAGCAAGGAAGGAACAAATTAACAATAGTGGCAATACAATAATTTAAAAGTTATGTTTGGATTATATCAGCTCAAAAGTTAGTTTATAGCTGTAACAAACCAAACCATGACATTCTAATCAGTTCAAACTTTATATCTTTGTCATTATTATGTTTAGGAAATAATTTCTCTAATATCAGTGCTATCTCCCATAGGCAACCTGTTTAGGTGATTACACCCAAGGCCTTGTTATTCTTACCTCCTAATTATGCCATTTGTATTCTGCAAACTGTACAAGAGAAAATACATCTTAAGAAGATTAAACTACTTCTGCACTGAATCTTTTCAGAAGATTGAAGAATCAACCAAAAATGACTTTCCTAAACAACTGTTTTCCATATTAAAAAAGATAAATACTCCTCATGTAATCAAAAATTCCCTAGAAATCAGCATGATGTTAGTTTTAAACAGTAATTTTAGGGTTTCATTAATACTTAAAATCTGGGTGCTTTATTTTTTAGTAAAATTTACATTATTTCATCAGCTAAAGAATAAATTTACTTACAAACACGTGATTCAAATGTTGGACTGTCAAACTGAGAGCTCATTTATAGTTCCCCCTTTTTCCCTTTACCTAAAGATTAAGATAACTGATGTAATTCTAACTTGAAAACTCTTGACTATAGTTATATTAAGCCTTCTTTTATTAAGACCTTCTCTGATAGGGCTGGGAGTATAGCTAAGTTGGCAGATTGTTTGCCTTGCATGCACAAGGCCCTGGGTTCTATCCCCAGCACCTCCCCAACCACCACCACCAAAAAAAAAAAAAAGACAATCATAGGATTTTTGAAATCAACAAACCCATTTGATATAGAGGAAGCACCCATAAAGTTTGGAAGATTTTTTTCTTAACTATCTGAAAATTGACTGATAAAATGATATTCAATGCAGGAACATTGTTTGAGTTCATACCATTCTCTTGAGAAGGCACTGAGAAATTTGACAAGAACAAAGCCACTAGGAGTGTTGCCACTATTGTTCTATGTTTAGTAAACATCAAAGTTTTTAATACATACAGTAAATTTACACTGCACCAAAAGGGCACCTGAAGCAGAGGTGCAAACCCACATATTGTAATATCTGTCCTAAACTAGAAGAACTAAATACCCTATTTCAAATACTCTAATTTATAAGTTAATACTCATGATACAACAATGACACTTTTCCATAATGCTCCAGGAAGAGTATTATTTTCTTGCCAATTTTAGTAATTAATTACCTTAGCTACCAGTGTAATTACATAACATTTATCTATTTACCCCATTTTTTAAACCATGCTATACACAGTTACAAGATACAGAACTAAGCTTAATCACACTACAATAAGAAAACTCACTTTTATATTGTTATGCTTTGCTTTAAAGTCAGCATGATATTAGTTTTAAACAGTAATGATATATCACTATAATATTTTAACGTTATGATTTTCATTCAAGATTATGAAAAACTTGAATTTCATTTCCCTCCAGACATTTTACTTTCAAATTGATACTTTTCATTTAGTCAGCTGAACAAATGAAAAAGAAAAGAAGAAGGAAAAAGATACTTGGCCAGATGAGATAGAGAAGGCTGACATGAGGTTCAACACGTGGAGTCTTGGGTTGTCTGTTCCATATGCCAGTGCAAAGTCATGACATGCCGAGGTGCCCTACACAGAACGCCAGATCAGTCCGTTCTTACTAGGCTCAAGAAAATTCTCTATCAGAGCTTCAATGAGTTTCTTCAATTCTTCTTCTAGCAACGCAGTATCACTAAGGAAAAAAGAGTTTTGAAATTCTCTATTTAATAGATTTAAAGTTTGTTTTAATTATTTTTTTTACTTTGGAGAGGGCATATATCTGATGTAATGATTAAATAATTGATAAACAAAAGAGAAATTTGCTCAGTTAAAACTAACCCCTCAAATAAAATAACACACAAAGAAAATAACATGATCATAAACTGAAATTGAACTTCATTAATAGTAATTCCTTGGCACATGATAAAGAATGAATTACAGTATGTCTAAATGATTCTCTTGGGTCAGGCAATTTAACAACTTTAAACATCAATATGAGTATTATAATAGAATGGCTTCCTGAAATGCTTTGAAGGAGACTCAGCTAAGGTGTTGTGGGATAATATGACTATCCTTCAGGTTGTTGGTAGCAGAAGAATGAGTGTTTTAAAAAACAGATACACAAACTTACAAGTAAGCCCTTCAAAATTGTCACTGAGGAGCCTCTTTCAAACAGCCTTCACAGTCATCTTATCAGCTATACAATAAATTAGCTATTACTTTGATATCCATTCTTTGTTTTTAACCAAATATAGCATTACCTGATTTGGTTAACTTTAAATACTTCTCTGAATGACTTTAGGAGGTCTTTTTTCTCCCCCAGTGGAAATAAAATCTTAAGGCAAAGATGTAGGAAAATACAAAATAATGTGCCCTGGTTGGGTTCTCAAGGCTATTTCAAAAAATACATTGGTCATTAACAACAAAGTTAATACTATTTTCAATAAGTTCAAATAGTCTTTGGTTTATTAAACATGTTAACAATTTGTGACATAGTCATAATTTGTACCCTTAGAAAGAAATGAACTAGGCAGATTGTGTCAAGCCAAATTGGACACAGAAAACAAATATTTGGCAACAAACACATTATTTATTGATCATTTCTTTAGGCTCATTATATATAAATTAAAGCTTAGAAAATCTTCTCAAGAATAGAAATTTACTATGACTTTGATATTCAGTTCTGCAAAATACAGCTTCTTTGGGAAACAGTTCCTCAAAAGGTTAAACATAGAGTAATATGACCCAACAATTTCAATCCTACATATATATACAAGAGAAATGAAAACATATATCCACATACAAATAGCTGTTCACAACTGTTCATAACCGTACTATTCATAATAAGCAAAAATTTAAATAATTTGAACATCCACTGATGAATGGATTAAAAATGTGGTATATCCACAGAATGGACTATTCGGGGCAAAAATAATACATTTTTTAAAAAAGTGAATAAAGTACTAACTCATGTTATTAACACTGATAAACCTGGAAAAACAATGCTAAGATGCCAATCACAAAGGACCACATATTGTATGATTACATTCATATGAAATATCCAGAATATGCAGATCTATTGGGAAAGACAGTAGACTAGTGGCTGCTTAGGGCTGTGAGGGAGGGAAATGGGAATTGATTTCTACTGAATATGGGGCTTCTTTTTGGGGTGATCCTAAAATTGATAGTAGTGATAGCCACACAAACTCTGCATATATTAAAATACACTGAATCATACATTTTAAGTGGATGATCTTATGGTATGTGAATTATATCTCAAAAAAGCTTTTAAATATGTATCTAATAAATCAATTCTCACCTCTGGTCAGGTGAAGCACACATCTCTGCATAATACTTTATTTTTGGTTCTGTCCCGCTTGTCCGAAGAGTAGCAACACATCCATTTTGAAAAGTAAAAGTAATCATTTGACTGTTTTTACTCACAGGCAGCACCTATGCAAGATTGCAACAACAGCTTAATTACATCTGGTATCTAATTCATTTTTCAAGAATTATAAAATACATTCCAGTTATATGAGGCATCTAAACTAGTCTAATTCATAGAAACAGAAAGTAGAATGTTGATTGTGAGGGGCTGGGGGAATAAAGACTGGGAGTTGTTTAATGGGTTTCAGTTTAGGTTCTAGAGATCTGTGGCACAACAATATGAATATACTTAAGATAATTTAACTGTACCCTTAACTATAGTTAAGGCAGTAAATCTTTTGTGTTTTTTTAAAAATATTTTTTAGCTGTCAATGGACCTTTATTTTATTTATTTATATGCAGTGTTAAGAATCAAAGCCAGTGCCTCACATGTTAGGCAAGCGCTCTACCACTGAGCTATATCCCCAGCCCCAATCTTCTATGTTTTTAACCATAATTATAAAACTTTTAAAATTAAAAGAATGAAAATACAAAAGATTACCATAATAATTCATAAACATATTAAGTGAACCCTTATAATAATCCAGGCATTGGTTTATATACTTTACATACATGATCTCCAGGCTTCAACAATAATCCTGCAAAGTCAGTATAATTGCCATTTTATGGACAAGGCTCGATGAGAGTAAACAATCTGCTCAACTAGCTAAGTGGTAGAACAAAAAGTGGAAGCTGTATCTGTTCTAAAGCACCTCTGCATTTGCAAAGCATGATGACAGTTAATCTATGGCCTCCAAAGATAAATATACGTTATCCTAGAGGACATGCAAAGGAATGTACTAGGTGCTGACAAAAACTATATTTTTAAAAAAGAAATGAAGTTTTACTGACATTGAATATATGAATTAATGCTGGTACTCTTTCTCATTCACACTTTAACCTGTTGAAGTATCTCGAGGGGACTGTGCTGTTGTCCTACAACAGAGGGGTTGCCAATGCTACTTCTCCTCAGGGCTCCAAGTGCTGGCCCTGGCCTAAAGAACCCTCTCTCCGTCAATGCATTATGATATGCCAGATGCTTAAAACAGATCTTTTGCTCCTCTTTTTCACTCATAGACCATTAACTATCAAGTCCTGTTTATAATATCCTTCATTCAATTCACCTTTTCAATTCTCTCCATCACCATTGTTACTATATTAAATTCTGGCCACTAACATCACTCACTAAGACTGCTGAAACAGCTTAGTAACTGATCTGTCTGCCTGGAATTCTGCCCTGGTAACCCACTCACCAGGCCACTCTTGCTCTCAGCCTACACTCCAGTTACAAATAACTACTTGTGGTTTTCTGGAGGACATGCCTTCTTGCTGTCAGACCTTGCACTTACTGCTTCCTTTGTTTGAAACAGGCTCTACACCTCCTGTATCTGGGTAACATCTAATTATACTTGAGAACTCAGTAGAGTCTCAGTAAGAGGTCTTTTCTATGCTCTTCCATCCAACAGAATGCTCTCAACTTCCATCCGCTGAGCTAAAGCCCCTCTATACTCATTTCTTAAGTGCAAGCATGCCTTTGCTATCACTGTATCTCTAGTGTACCTTTGGCTGCAGCACAGAATTATTTTTATAAATGAATGTACAGATGAATGTCAATTTGAAATGTGAAGAGAGAATTCAGGAAGTCTTCCACACTTACCAAGAATCTTGGGGATAACAACATCTATGCTACCTATCCTACAAAGCTCTGAGCGTCAGAGCAGAAGGGATGAAATACCTTAAATAGTTTAAATAAATTTAAACTTTAAAGACAGACAAGAGGAAAAAACCATCACAGCAAAGACTAAGCATAAAAACATTAGAGAAATAAAAAGAAGTCAAAGATTTTATTCAGTTAATTTACAAGGACAGAAATACACATGAGCTGGGGTTGTGGCTCAGTGGTAGAGCACTTGCCAAGCATGTGTGAAGCACTGGGTTTGATTCTCAGCATTGCATATAAATAAATAAAATAAAGTCCATTAACAGCTAAAAATATATAAAAAAGAGAAATACACACACACATGCCTGTGCACATACTCAGAATATTGACAACTAGGAACCAATATTTGTTGACTGGATAAATCTGCAAAAAATGAAATATGGATAGTATTCTTTTCCCACAGTTTTTATTGGCTTATTATAACTATACAAAATAGTGGGATTCATTGTTACATATTCATACGTGCAAACAATATAACAATATAATCTGGTAAATATACTTCTTAAGTATTTTCCTTTCCCCTCCTCTCTTCCTTCTCCCTAGTCCTCTTCTTCTACTCTACCTGTCTCCCTTAGATTTTCATGACTCTTCCCCAACCTTTCTTTTCCTCTTTCCTCTCCAGTTTTAATAGATGAGAGAAAACATATGATTTCTGACTTTATGAGTCTGGTTTATTTAACTTAACAGAATGCTCTCAAGTTTCATCCATTTTCCTGCAAATGCTATAATTTCATTCTTCTTTATGGATGAATAAAATTCCATTGTGTATACATACCACATTTTCTTTATCCATTCATCCACTGATGAACACCTAGGCTAGTTTCATAGTTTGGCTATTCTGAATTGTGCTACTAAAAACATATTTTACCATAAGAGCAGAAGAGTTTAAAAGCACCTCAAATAATAAAATCATAAATTTAAAGACAGGAAAGAGAAAAAAATCATACCAAAGACTATAGAAACATTAGAGAAAAGAAAAGTCAAGATTTTATTCAGTTAATATATAATATACAAACACACACACATACACAGAATACTATTGCTGTAGTATGCTGACTTTAGGATAGACACTGAAGAGTAATTTAGCTGGGTTATATGGTTATTCCATTTCTAGTCTTTTGAGGAAGTTCCATAATGATTTCCATTGATTGTAAATTATTACAATCTCACCAACAGAGTAAAAGTGTTCCTTTTCCCCTAGATCCTCTCCAGCATTTATAATTGTTTATATTCTGTCATTCTAACTGGAATGAGATGAAATCTCAGTGTAGTGTTGATCTGCGGTTTCCTAATTGTTAAAGATGTTGAACAATTTTTAATATATTTGGCAGAAACCTTTTAATCTGATGTCATCCTGTTTATTAATTCTTGGTATTATTTTCTGAGCTTAAGAGGTTCTATTGAGAAAGTCCTTGCCTGAACCAATATGTTGGGAGTGTAGACCCCACATTTTCTTCTAGGAGTTGCAGAGTTTCTGGTCTCATTCCTAGGACTTTGATTCATTTTAAGTTGACTTTTGTGCAGGTCAAGAGGCAGGGATTTAGCTTCATTTTTCTATCTATGGAGAAACCAGTTTTCCCAGAACCATTTGTTAAATAGGCTGTCTTTTCTCCAACATGCCTTTGTCAAGGACCAGATAACTGCATCTGTGTAGGTTTGTCTCAGTGTCATCTATTCTGTACCATTGGTCTATGGGTCTGTTTTTATGCCAGTACTATGCAGTTTTTGTTACAATAGCTCTGTAGGATAATTTAAAGTCAGGTATTGTGATGCCTCTAGCATTGCATTTTTTTTTGCTTAGATTTGCTTTAGATGTTCTGGGTCTTTTTTTAAAAAAATTATTTAGTTGTAGATGGACACAATATCTTTATTAATTCATTTTTATGTGGTGCTGAGGATTAAACCCAGTGCCTCACACATGCAAGGCAGGTGCTCTACCACTAAGCTACCGCCCCAGCCCTGGATCTTTTATTGTTCCAAAATGAATTTTAGGACTAGTTCTGTGAAGAATGTCATTGGTATTTTGATGGGAATTGCACTGAATCTGTATATTGCTTTTGGTATATATGCTCATTTTTAACAATATTAATTTTGCCTATCTATAAGGAATATGAGTATTATCCTATGTAAGAAGCTGCAAATTTCCCAAAATACATTATGTCCCCAGAATCTTCTGACAACATCAGAGCATTACAAATGGAAATTTAAGCTAATAATCATCCTAAAAATAACAACAACAAAATGAATATGATCAGCAATCTCTTGTATGTAAGTGTTTGTTTGAGCACCTATCCCACTGGCAGGAGCTTTGAAAGGCATAAAGGTCCTTCAGAAATGGACCTGCCATGCACAACACAATGGTAACATAAATAGAAAAAAAATGACACATATCATGTGGAGGAAGGTATATGATTGTGGGACTTGGAGGACATATTTGCCTTAAATCTTAAATAATGGCAAGGTATGAACCTGTAGCAGAGGAAGAAAAGGTAAACTAAGAAAACAAACTTGATCAAAAATACAGAAATCAGAAAAAAGATAAAAATATAATTTAACAAAGAAAAAAGAAATACATAAATTATATATATTTGAAATTATAACTTATTCTTTTTGGCTAGAGATACCAGGAGTAAAGTTAAAAAGAGAACTTGAAACTAGAAGGATAGTCCAACATGGTGGGGTACACATTTAATCCTAGTAACTCAGGAGGCTGAGGCAGGAGGATCATGAGTTCAAAGCCAGCCTCAGCAATTTAGCAAGGCCCTAAGCAACTTAGACAAGAAAGGGCTGGCAATGTGGCTCAGTGGTCAAAGGGTCCTTGATTAACATCCCCTGTACTCCCCACACCCCAAAGTAGAAATACTTTTTTCTTTGTTCAAAGAAAAAGAAGAAAAGTAGAAAAAAAAGTAGTATAAACACTTTGCAATTCTTGGATTTTAGAAAGACTTTATTCTCAACATTGTTTTAGTGTCATTGTACATTCTCTTTTTCTCTCTCTGTCTCTACCTTCCTCTTTCTATCCTCATACTCTTTTCCCTAAGGTATTCCAGATGATTACCTGGGGACTGATGAGGATCTTTGGTCACTTAAAACTACTCTAGGGATGGGTCCTAGTCCCAAAAACTCACAGGCCTGAACTTCTACTATTTTAGTATAGTATGAATTATTACAAATTATTAAAAATATATATATTTTTTAAAATAGGTACTTTCAGGAGTTTCCAGGCTGGTGAGCACATGGACCTTCTGGGAGGGTGATGTACCTAAAAAGGGCATGAGATCCTACTCCATACCCTCCCTGCCCTATGCATCTCTTCTGTCTTGGTGTTCCTAAACTGTTTCCTTTATAATAAACTAGGAAACATGAGGAAACAGGATTGAGCCTCATGTAAAACCCATCTCTGGACTTTTTGGTGACATGAGCCATTAAGTTTTTGTCAATGTTATAAATTTAAAAAGTACTTACTGATTTTTTATTAGGCTGGCTGCTGTCATATCCAGTGGTAACATCCCGTATGTGCAATATAGCAAATGTCCCACAAAACTTTGGATATTCTTTCGGAGAATCAAAATTGCGAAGCCTTTCAAATATACTTTTGATGGTAGGTGGATCATAACACAAGAAATATGAAGTTTTTGACATGTGATAACCATATCTGTACAAAGATTTAAAGTATTAAAATCAGATTTCCGATAACTTTAGAAATGTACACATTAAATAAAAACAAGCCTATTAGAATATTTTGTAGAATTTTAATGCTTTTTATAAAAGGATGTTGACTGTTCTTCAAAAACAAATTTAGCAGCCAGGCATGGTGGTGTCTGTGCCTATAATCCCAGTGGCTCAGGAGGCTGCAGCCGAAGGGTTGTGAATTCAAAAGACAGCCTCAGTAATTATTGAGGCCTTAAGCAACTTAGTGAGAAACTATCTTAAAAGAAAATATTAAAAGAAAGGTGGGGAAGAGGACGTGGCCAGTGGTTAAGTGCCCCTGGGTTCAATCCCCAGAACCAAAAACCAAAACAAAACAAAAACAAATTTAGAAAACTATGGATAGGACAAAAAAAAAATTGAACGAAAGATCTAGCATATGAACTTACTTTTCATAAACTTTAATCAGTTGCTCCATCAATGTTATACTCATGGTTTCCAGGTAAGATGCCATCTCAGCAACAACAACGGCTGCACTTACCCCATCTTTATCCAAAACGGAAGTTCCACACAGAAAACCTGGGGATTCAAAACCATCTTTAGAAAAGGGGAAAACTTAAACCCATAGTTTCATATTTCTTCAGAAGGACCAGTGACTTTAAGAGCCTAGAAACAGATGAAACCCATCAATACTGAATGTATTCAGAAGACCTTTATGTTCTTTTTCTTTTCCTGATGAGACATGCATTTACATATTTCTGAGTTCTCTGCAGTTTTTACAACTTAAAATACAAAGCCAGATGGCAAAAATTCCTCTCTACAGAATTGTCACATTAAAAAAATGTTTTCAATCAAACTTCAAAGATTTAAATATTTACTACATACCAATAGACTCTTCAAATGCAAAGAGGACTTCTTTCCCATTTTCCAGGAGATCTTTTATCCTACTTCCAATCCATTTAAAACCTGGTAATGTTTCCTGAAATGCAGAGGAAGATACTCTAGTTAAACACAGAGAAAAATCTATCAATAAATGCACATAATTCCTGAGTAGTGATCTTCTATTAGGCTTTTTGGTCCACAATGATTTATACAGTGGTAGACACATAGTCATAAAGGGCTATAAACACACATACTACCACTACTGGTGGTCTACTATTGATACAGTACAGTACTAGATGATTTATATCAAATATATCCCATATTTATATGTGCGACAATAAAGTTACAAAGTAACATAAATATATACCTATATTATTATCTAAAACATAGGTACTATATTTATTTGTTAAGCACTATTAGTACTATTTACTAAATACTATAATAGGTACTTAATAGCACTATAGTAGCATGATCTTTTTTAAAAATTTTTTTATCTATTTTATTTATTTATTTTTATGTGTTGCTGAGGATCAAACCCAGTGCCTCACACATGCCAGGTGAGTGCTCTACCGCTGAGCCCCAGTCCCAGCCCCAGCCCCAAAGCATGATCTTTTCTAATGTTCATAAACACTGTTGTCAGAAGAGAGGCTCAGAGATTAAGTAAATTTGCCTAAGATGCAGCTTATACAAAATGGAGGTACGTTTCAATTACACTGCTTCCCAACAACTGTCCTGTAAGCCATACTACAGTCACTAACATAAGAGAGCCTGTGAAGGTTTTGATTTAGTCTCCCCAAGTAATACATTATCACAACCTATGCTTGAAACAAGTACACCTTTCCACAACACTGTGACCTAAATAAAACCACCAAGACAGTTACCAAGTCATTCATTAATAATTATGTTCGGGGAACTTTCATCTGATGAGCTTTAAAGACCTGCTGCGTTCTAGAGTCAACATATGCACACTAATTCTGGGGTCCATCATTACTAACTTAAATTTCCTAAATCACTTTTCTACTTTCACCAAAAATACAAATTCTGGCAATCCCCTCAAACCAAAACAAATTTATAATACTGATCTTTAGAATCATGTTATTTTCTTTCTTTTGTGCACTTACTTTTCTTGCTATAAACAAAAAAACTATTGAAATTCAGAATTTTAGGCTTGAATAAATTTTCAGTATCTTTTGCTATCGGTGTTTTTTGAAAGTCTAAGATTAAAAGCTGTATTTCATAAAAACAAGTACAATTTTCTTTTACTGAGTCAATTATTACTGAGACTTGTTGCTTGAGTATGACTCAAGGAAAATGCCTGGGGGTAACACTTAGTTACTGACACCTGGCAAAGATGGTAGAGGAAAAGCAATAAAGTTGGCTTTAGTCCAGGTAGTTACAAAACTGTTGTACTTAACTGTTTGCGGTTCACAAACATTAATGATCTGGTTGATACAAAGTCATTCTTCTTATTATTATTATTATGTAGAACCAATGGATTTTTGTTTGCAAGTTTGAAGTCTACTTAAAAGTTTATTAATACTGTGCTTGAAGAATCTAAACAAAGGATTGATGGCATTTACAAGCTTTTGGAGTGAAGTCTGTGTTAGTGATGAGGTCACTAGATTTTCCATCTGCAAACCAGATGTTGTATGAAATAATATGTGCTAACGTAATTTTTGGAAAAAATCTTGTCTCAGTTAAAAATTCACATACTAGATGAATTTGTCTCTGGGTGTCTAAGTTATAAAAATATTAAGCAAATATCAGCAATTTTAAAAAATGAAGAGATTATAAATGAATTAATGAAATGTCAGTTTTGGTGGGGTGCCTTTAATATACAGGAATATATTTAGAAAAGTAGCACACAGATATTATTTATTACTTCAAAATGAAATCCTTCTTCAAGTGCAATTGCCTTCAAAATTTTAGAAGAGACAGTAGTGGCTAACATATAAACATTCTTCACATCAGCATTTCTTGGTTTATTTTTCTTCCAGCAATCAAACATCCACCATCCAAATAATGCTGCCAGCTCATTTCCTGTGAAGACTTTCCAACGACCACTGTAGAGAGAAAATTCCAAGTCAAGACCTTTCCAGCTTCTCATTAAAACTTCTTGACTCCAAGACATACAAATTATCATCCTTCAGATAGGAAAATCCTACAGCTATGAGACTTTTTAAAAAAACTTTATTCTTTTTTATTTATTTATAACACAAGGATACACTCTGCCATTATCACAAAAACAGGGAATACAACCTGCTCCAATTCAGTTTTATAATATGGAACTTTTGAGAAAATATTTACTACTACTTCTTTTATAATTGACCTGGGATCTTTAGGGTAGGGATAGTTATAACCAATCAATCTTTCTCTCTCTCTTCCCCCCATCTTACTTTTTATACTGAGGATTGAAACCAGGGGTACTCTACCACTGAGCTATATTCCCAATCCTTTTTTTTTTTATTTTTTTTTTTTTTTTTTTTTTTTTTGTTGGTTTTTCACCCTTTTTTTTTTTTTTAATTTTTTTTTTTTTTTTTTTTTGAAGTTGTAGTTGGACACAGTACCTTTATTTTTTAAAAAATTTATTTTTATGTGGTGCTGAGGATTGAACCCAGCACCTTGCACATGCTAGGTGAGCACTCTACAGCTGAGCCCCAACCCCCCCCCCCCCACCCTTTTTATTTTTTATTTTGAGACAGGATTATTTTGCTAAGTTGCTGAGGCTCAACTTGAATTTGTGATCCTCCTGCCTCAGCTTTCTGAGTTGCTGGGATTACAGACATATGCCACTACTCCAGGTTGCAATGTCTTTTGGAAGATTATTACAAGGCTAATTTTATTCTTTTACTTAATGAGAAAAAATTGTGAAGACATGTCATATCAAAATGGTGAAAATATACAGCAATCCAAAGGACCAGGATTAGGAAATGATTATATTGATAAAGCAACCTGTTGAAATATGCTGTGGTTAAAATTAATATTTTCAAACAATTATATAAGAATGAGAAAAATGCTCATAGTATAAATGGTATAGAAAATAATTAAGATATAAAACTACATATAGTATGATCATAATTTCACAATTTTATATGAACAAATACATCTTTATTTGAGTAGAAAAAAAGGAAATGTTGAAGTACTGATTTAGGTAGTTATATGGATGGTGGAGTTATATAAGATTTATTTTCTTTCCTATTTTCAATGAACCTGTGAGACTTAATTTTTTTGATGTTTTTGTTTTTAAAAATTGCTTTTCATAGCTCAAGCTTTTTGTGTGTGTGTGATGCTGGGGTTGAAATCAGGGCCTCACGTATGCCAGTCAAGCCCTCTACAATGGTCAAAACCACTGTGTTTTATAGTCTCGACCCCTCATAGCTCAAGCTTTTAATCAAATAACAGATTCTACTTACTTCGCCTGAAGTTCTGCCACTGCCAGTCGGTCTGCATCAGGATCTGTGGCTAGCACTATCCGGGCATTTTCTCTTTCTGCCAGTCTCAGAGAAAGTTCCTGAAACAGTAACCCAAAAAGTTAGATTGTATTGAAGAATCTGAATCAATGCTAATATTCCTAAATGTAGGCACTATGTTAGTGATATGAATTTTAGAAGGCATACAATTTTGTTAAGTTTAAAATAAGTAGCCTAGAAGTAGTAGAGATTTCAAACAAAACACAATTATATTCCAGTGTAATTTAAATGATATAAACTACAATGGTTTCTGCTTTTGTAAGTAATCTCTAAATTGTCAATAAGTTCTATTTATTCTGATGGTTTAATAAACTAGTAATAATTTAAATATTAGAAAAATACCAGTACAGATTCTCCTTCTTCAGGATTTGGGCATTTAACAGTAGAAAAGTCTGGATCAGGATCTTTTTGTTCTGGTACTGGAATTGGAGGCTTAAAACCAAACACTTGAAAAGCCAACTGCACATAGTCATGTCCGACACCATGAAAGGATGTATGCACAAATTTCAAGGTGGTCTTTGAGTTTAATTCCCTGTAAGGTAAAAATCACCAATCAATATCATAAAACTTGCCACCTGTGATATAATTCAAAACACTTAAATTTGAGAAAAAGTGATTAAAGCCTTCAGCAGAGCTGTAAGATATATTTTAAAATATTTTTAGTTATAGTTGGACACAATATCTTTAATTTTTTATGTGATGCTGAGAACTGAACCCAGTGCCTCACTAGGCAAGCACTCTACCACTGAGCCACAAACCCAGCCCTGTAAGATTTTTTTTTAAAACTATGTGGTATTAAAGTAAATTTCAGAAGATTTTTAATTCAACTACATTCTTCCTTTGTGGTTCAACTTCCTAACCTGGATTGCTTCCTTCCATATGCTATACCAGTATCCTAACCCAAGCCGCTATATATCTCTTGCCAGATCCACCACAAGAACTTCCTAACTGGCCTTTCTTATTCTCTGCAGACTCCTTTTTTTCTTTCAGTCCAGCTTAAATTCCAAGGTATCTAATTTCAATTACCTTCTTTTATTTTCACATTGGATACCTTGATCCTCTAATACCTTACCCTGTGTTGAACCCAACAATGTACGTTTTTCCAGACTTGTACCAAAATAGCACAATACTGCTAGAGTAAATCTCACAAAAGGGTTAAGAGCTTCACTTTCAAAGGGCATTCAGCACTGTCAGGCACTTTTACTTTGTTACTCAAAAAGCTTACTATTTTCTCTCTAAAACGGTGTGTAAAATCTTTTCTTCTCTCCTATTCTTTTCCTCTCCCTTTACCTAATGCAAACATAATACAGAAGCCATCTGATGAGAACTTCCTAATCTTTCTACATCTAATCCATAATCTAACAGCATCCATACATATCTTTTCCTTCTTCTGACAACAGAGTGTTTTTCTTTCTCTCAAAGGTCAGTGCTCCACTTTGGCTCTGGTTCCCATCTCTTCTCACTCAAGAACTTTATCACTCTAGTCACCCCCTCCCTCCTGCATCATTCCCATTAACATCCAGTCACAGTTTCTTTGGTTCTTCTATAGCAAAACTTTCTACATTCTTACCGACTACTTATTAACCACTCTCTGTAATAAATAAAATTATTAAAGTAAAATAAAATTTTCAAAATATACATAAGAAGAATGCCTACTATTAATATACTTATCATCTCAATTCAACATTTATCAACATTCTGTCAACTTAGTTTAATTTATGCAAGACATCAAATTACTTTACAAATGCTTTAGAATTTAAAAACGTAACCATAATACCATTATTGCACCCAACAAAACCCACAATTTTTTTTTTTTTTTTTGTCGTACTGGGGATTGAATCTAGGGACTTCTGCATACTAGGCAAGCATTCTACCAACTAAGCTATATCGCCAGGCTCCCCAATCCACAATAATTTCTTAATATTATTCAGTACCCTATCTGTGCTCAAATTTTCCCCAAATGTCTCAAAAATACAATTGGTTTACTTGAATCCAGACCTGAATAAGGTCCACACCATCTGTCTCTCAAATCACTTGTAATCTAGACATGTTCTTTTTTTCTTCTCCAATCCCTATGCCATTTGTTGAAGAAACTAAATCATTTGTTCTGGAGAATTTCCTACATCTTGGGTATGCATATTTCATCCTTTATGTATTAGCATGTTCCATAAACCTTCTTTTTCTGTAAATAGGTAGGTGAATCTAAAGGCAACATTATAGATTATAGATTCAATTTCAAATCTTTAGGCAAGAACAAATGTTGAATCTTGAGGGGAGGCACATGATGTCATTGATTCATCAGAATTTTGTCATCTTGATCCATCCATCAAAAATTTCCCAATAACTTTTTACCTATAAGTCTTAGTAGCCCTTGATGATCATCACTTTTATTAGTGGTAATAAAATAGTGTTATTTTAATTCTTTTACTCCTTCGCAATTAATAGTTGGATTTTTCTTTTAAAATATTTATCCTTCAGCAATTATTTAATTAACCCTGAAAGTCAGTACATATAGGAAAGACAAAAGAAAATATCTAAGCATTTATCAATTTGCTGAATGAAAATTCAGAATTTATCAAATTTCAGAATGAGTAATTTCAAATCTAGCAACTCTTGAAGGTGATCTGTGAAATGTTTGCGTAGTGTTACTACCAGCCAACAACCTTTTATGTTTAAAGTCTTAGTTAATTACAGTGATTCTTCTTTTTTTTTTTTTTTTTTGTAGTTCTGGGAGATTGAACCCCCGTCTTCAGGTATGTTAGGCAAGAAGCACCCTATCACTGAGCTACTCTGGCAGCCCTTGTTTTGAAACAGGGTTGTGCACACCTGTAATTCCAGCTACTAGGAGGGCTGGAGCAAGAGGATTGCAAGTTAATAGTCAGCATGGGCAACTTAGTGATTATTCTTTTTGATACCCAACTGTCCAATTTTTGGTCAATAAAAGCCCCCATAAAGTATGCTCTTATATCCTTTTGATATGAACCAAATATCTCTCAGTACTTTCTTGCTTTATGGCAGAGAAAGGCAGAGACAAAGAGCGACACAGAGATATTAAGATTAATTCCAGAAGTATATTTTTTGCCCCAGTCCTGGATTCATCAATTTCTCCAGGAGCCCTGGTTCCTTTTGGTGGGAAATGCCATTTAGAAACTATAATCTGTGTTTTAAGGTGACTCATAAGCCTTTTTAGCAACAGAACTAGTATTTCAGAAAGAAGTAAATAAATCACTAATGTTTCAAATCCAAACTTAAAATATAATTTTACAATTATTTTCTCTTATTTTACATTTACTTCTCTTATACTAAAATCTTAGTTCCTTGTTGACATCAAAATAATTCTCCATGGGCTGGGGTTGTGGCTCAGTGGTAGAGTACTTGCCTAGCTTGTGTGAGGCCCTAGGTTCCATCCTCAGCACCACATAAAAATAAATAAATAAAATAAAGGTATTGTGTTCATTTACAACTAAAAAATATTTTTTAAAATTATCCATTTGTTTTATAATATATCTATGGATATATGTATGCATATCTATATCTATAAAACCATCAATTTTACTAATTGTAGAGATGACAAGTACAAATCAGGTAAGTGGTTCTTTTTTAAAAAATAAATTTACTGGAGAAGAGGAGTTGCACAGAAGATGGAAGGAAAACCTCATTGTTATACAGAATACATATATAATGTTGTGGTGAGAAAAAGAAAAAAAAAGTGTGTCACATTAGATTGGATAGAAAGGATGGGAGAGGAGGAGAGGAGTAGGGGGGATAGGAAGGGCAGCAGAATAGAATAGACATTATGATTGATGTATGTACATTCCATATATGTATTATATGTCAAAATACATTCTGCTGTCATGTATGACTAAAAAAATAAAAATAAATCGTATGGTAAAAAAATTTACTTATTTAATTATGTATACATGACAGCAGAATGCATTTTGATTCATTGTAGGTGTGTGGTTCTTTATCCTTCCATATGACCCATTAGAAAATAGTCAGATTTAAAGTCACTTGAATCTCTCTCTGTGTGATTATGTTTTCAGCTTGATATATAATTAGATTCATTTGTTAATTTGCATATAAACGCTTTTTTAAAAAGAATTTAATCTTTATTTTATTTATTTGTTTCTATGTGCTAAGGATTGAACCCAGGGCCTCACCAGTGCTAGGCAAGCGCTTTATCACTGAGCTACAATCACAGTCCCTGTACATATATTCTTTAAAAAACAAGAACTTAAGTAAGCAAAAACAGAAAATATCATATTTTTTACTTTTTATTTGGTGGTACTAGGAATTGAATCTTCAGGTACTCTGCCACTGAGCTACAACCCTTTTTATTTTTTGAGACAGGAACTCGCCAACTTGCTGAGGTGGGCCTTGAACTTGCAATCCTCCTGCCTCAGCCTCCTGAGTCACTGAGATTATAAGCATGCATCACTGTGCCTGGCTCAAAGTCTTTTTAGATTGACTATAGCTAGCAGTTAGCTAGTACTGTAGCCTACTTCTCATTTTGGAAGGAGAAGCAAACAACTGATAATTGTGATGTGTAAACTTTTGAAAATAGAGAAAAAGCTAAAAATCAATTTTGTGTCATAGGTATCTTACATAAAGGAAATACATACAGTTATAAGTATAATTAGTTTAACAGCTTTATTAAGATATAATTTACTTACTGAACAATTCACCCATTCAAAGTGTACAATAAAATGGTTTTTACTTTATTCATAGAGCTGTTCAACCATTAATTACTTCAATTAATTTTAGAACATTCTTGTTACTCCCAAAACAAACTCTAAATCCCATTTTTGTTACCCTCCCAACTCTGATTCCTCCCAGCCATAGGCAACCACTACTCTATTTTGGTCTCTGCAGATTTGCCTATTCTGGACATTTTATATACACAAAATCATACAATATGTGGTTTTTTGTGACTGGCTTCTTTCACTAGCATAATGTTTTCAAGGTTTATATACCTATAGTATGCATCAGTACTAAATAATATTATCATTATATGGATACAAACATTTTATTTATCCATTCATCATTTGATGGATATTTGGGTTACTTCCACTTTTATTCTGTTATGAATAATACTACTTAGCTATAATTTAATATGATGAACAGAAAATATTTTTATCACTTTTTCTTTCCTCACTTGCTAACCTTATCCTAAGGTAATACTATCCTATATTCCCATTTGGTTACCTGTAAAAACAGATCTTTTTCAGATCTTCCATGTATCTCTTGCAAATGTCCTGTAGAGGATCTTTCTTCAGTGGACTAGTGTCCACTAAATTATCATTCCAGGAACCATTCCAGGGTTCAACACATTCTTCTATACATTTCAGAATTTCTTTATCATGAGGAGATGTGATTTGAGCACCAGTTTCCCAATAAACCTAGGTGATAGGTGTAGGTAAATATTGTTATGAATGATATATTGAAATACTCAACAGATTTTTCTTAGCTACAATAGAGATCTTTGGCTTTATGAAGAAACATATCAAGTAAATTGAGTAAAAGAATGTCAACATGAGACTAGTAAATACCAAAATACACTGATGATGATTCCACAGAGACTCAATAATAAAATAATTATGTATTATTTCCTTTTTTAAGAATTTACTTGGAAAACAATACAAGTAAAATATAAGCAGGGCATCAGGCCAATATTAGAATATGCATATACCACAGTATCCAAACATACTCTTAGGTTTATAATTGTATATTAGAGATAATCTAAGAAACCACAAAATATCCCATAAAACTCCATACTATTAAACTTAACATTATAAAATGATTCTATTTTGTGATACAGAAGCTGTTTTCTATCATAAATTAAAGTAGAATTTATGTCACACCAAATAAAATCCATATCAGGAAATATAATTAACATGTCAATTATCCACATACATTTCAATAAGCTTTCAGTTTGTCAAATACTTTGATAAAAACAGTATTAGGAACAGTTACCAAAAAAGCAAAAAATATAAATTCCAATAATTCACAAGATCTCAAAATTAAAAGAGACTTTGCTTAGAGAATATCTATGCTGGATTTCTACCATGTATATGATATGAATTCTCTCTATTGCACTCCAAATGAAGAAAAGACATATACACTTGAATATGTACTACATACTAAGCTCTATGTCAAGAAATATGGTGAACTACATAGTTTAAAAATTCTTGTTCTTATGTAAAATTATTGTGTTCAATTAAAAATAAATATACATTTTTAGGGGCTGGGGTTGTAGCTCAATGGTAGAGTGCTTGCCTCACATGTGTGAGGCACTGGGTTTGATCCTCAGCACCACATAAAAATAATAAAGGTATTGTGTCTCTCTACAATTAAAAAATAAATACACATTTAAAAAATTGTTCTAAAAGCAAACAGCTCTAATTAAAGATAAAATAGAAAAAATATTACCTTAAATATATAGCTTAATTCACAAGAGGACAGGAAAAACTCCAGGCAGTGGGGAAAAAGGAAAGAATTGAAACTCAGAGTGATAAGCTTGTAGGGGTAATGTTGGGGTTTGGGAACTGTTGATTTATCTGGCTTCTACATTGTAATGCCTATGTGCAAGGTAGTGAGCTGGAATTGAGATTCCCCTAATAAGAACGGGAGTCTTGCGGTGGAATGAGATGGACATCATTACCCTAAGTACAAATGGTATGACTCTAATTTGTATACAACCAGAGATATGAAAAATTGTGCTCTCTCTATATAATATGAATTGTATTGCACTCTTTTTTTTTTGAGAGAGAGAGAGAGAGAGAGAGAGAGAATTTTTATTTATTTTTTTAGTTTTCGGCAGACGCAACATCTTTGTTTGTATGTGGTGCTGAGGATCGAACCCGGGCCGCACACATGCCAGGTGAGCACGCTACTGCTTGAGCCACATCCCCAGCCCTGTAATGCACTCTTGTTATCATATATAACAAATTAGAATAAAAAATAATTTAAAAAATGAGATTCTTGAAATGTTTCCCTCTTAGTCAAAGAGAACAGAAAGAATCCTGTTCACTATAGTAGGGAGATCATAAGGAAGCAAGTCTATTTCTTCTTGGGTTTTGGGCGATTAAAAAAAAAAATTTCAGCTCTTTGTCTACTTCCTGGTTTCAAATCCCAAGCTACTTCCATCACGATGTTCTGCCCTTGGGCCCAGAGCAACAGAGTTGGCCATCTATGGTCTGAGACCTCAGAAACCCTTTAGAATCTGACTTTCTGGAGGAACTGAGTCCCAGAGAGGATGCTTCTGAGCAAATAGTGTGAGTCCCACTAACGTTAAAGCTAGAGGTGTTGCCTGGCCATTTTGAGCAGACATGAAAAAGCATTATCACACTGGTAGGGCCACTTGACTCTGATCTTCATGAAAATGTAAGATTGCTACTACAAACTGGGTGCCTCAGCAAATATTTTTGGCACTTGGTTTACTGGGGTATATCTTATTTTAACTGTAAATAAAAAAGTATAGCAGCCATGGATTCATATAGGCTTATAACCAATGACCCATCAGAGGGTCATCCTATAGAACAAACCATCTAGATAAGAAAAAAATAACTACCAAAGGAGTAGGGAAGTATAGATGGTATGGCCAAAGACAGTGATATGAGTAATCAGTTAATTCCTCAGAGGCAAATGCAACAGTCAGGGCTGTGGTCCATCCCACACATCCTCCTTTTATATAATCAGGGAACTATCTTTCATTGGGTCTTCTAGAAGTAGAAGTTGAGATGAATTTCCAGAAAATTCTGACCAACCAGAATCCTAAATAAGTTGGGACTGAATATAATGAGCCAAATGAGGACTGGAATGATATAAGTGAAGAACTATAGTAGATATTCTTGGTACCCATTCAGATCCCCCTAGCCAGACCTAATTTATCTATCATTTAGCTGCTACATTGCCTACAGCTGCCCCATTCTCTGGAGACCGTTCCTTGTCCAAAAGTCCTTGGGAAGTTTACCCATCACCACCAGCTACTCTTGGTCAATGGCTAACATGGGGTTCGTGTGAACCTCAAAATGGGGCCAGCTTGGTGATGTCCTGTGATGCACACATTTCATTCCATCTCTCCTATAAGACCATGATGAATCTAAATTCCAGCTGAGACCACACAGTTGCTTGATTTTCATCCTACTATCACTCCACCCTCTACCTGCTTCTCTCACTTTCCTTTTTCCAAGAGTGTTCCCTTAAAAAGCCACTTTCATAGAAATTCTCATCTCAACTTCTGCTTCTGAAAGACCCAAGGGAAGATACTATCTCTGATCATATTACTTCCCTACCTCTTTCAGGGGTGAATACTATTAGAAATCTTTTGTTTATATGCTTGTGTGGTTTACTATATATGCATGAATATGCAAATAATACACAACATTGTTTGAATATTTATGAACTTTATATAAATTGTATTATTCCCCTCCCCCAAAATTTCAAATGTGAGAATTGATAAGTTAACACAGAAATTGCTCCCAGTCAGTGAAACCCTTGAGGTTCTGGCAGACATTAAACAAACTTGCTCGGGAGAGATGCTCCCACATTCCAAGCTGCAAAAAAAAAAAAGGATTCTCTCTGTAAGCCCTGAAAAGCTCATAGTGAGAAAACTATAAAATAAGTAAAGTTCAGGAGTCCAAGGTTTACCTTGTATCCATTGTCTTCCTTGCGGTTGTGAGATGCAGTAATCATCACACCAGCAACTGCTTTGAGCTCCTGGACTGCATATGGCTAAAAAATAATAACATTATATTTCCATTTTGTTTCATTTGTTATGAGAAGAACTTTGATTAAATAACAGAAAAAGACATTATGGCTTAAATGACCTAAATCTTATCAACTCCATGTTGATTGGGTGGAGTCCATTTCTAAAATATGTGGTTCAATAATCATCCAACTGTTAGACTGAACAGCTTTCCCAGTCTTGTTTAACTTAGTCCTATAAGCATTTCTTATTCTTTTGTTTATTTGCCAATATTTAATGAACACCTACTATATGTCAGACATTCCACCAAACTCTGGAGATGTGAAAAATAGAATCATAAAATATTGGAGTTGGAAGTAAATTTAGAAATCATCGAATCCATTACACTTTACATTGAGGGTCATCCAACATAATACAGTCATTGGTAGAAGATTCAAAGGGAGAGCATAAGTTTCTTGCCTTCCAATTTAAAGATTTTTAAATATACTATGTGGCCTCTATGTCATATATATAAGGGTCAACTCACCGTATTCTCTCCCACAGTTAATTCTTAGATTGTATTTCCCATCTCAGTAGTAGCTATTATTTGTCACCTTCGGATAGTTCTCCTTCTGTTTCTACCATCATATCTGACTGCCCTCCTGGATCACAGTTGTGGGAGGGCAATGTTGAATACATGAGCCAGATCTGATCACAGCAATCTATTCCCTTGGTATGATTCAGAAACTGTTTCATCAACCAAACCTGATCAGAGTCTTTCTCCAAAATATTCTGGCTATAGTTAGTCAAGAGTGCTTTTCACTTAAGTCATGGTGATAAAAGAGTGTGAAATCTGGGATTGCTAAAAATACCTCCCCTACCAGCTAAAGCAAATCTATCTGCAATGAGAGAGAAAAGCCAACACAGTAGGATTGATGCTGACTGGAAATAACAACTCAGTGACACAATCTTACAGAGATGGTCTATATTTCTAGATTCTCCCTGGCTTCTATTATTTTATTTTATTTTGGTATCAGGAATTGAACCCAGGGGTGCTTAACCACTGAGCTACATCCCCAGCCCTTTTTATTTTTTATTCTGAGACAGGGTCTCACTAAGTTGTTTAGTGCCTCACAAAGTTGCTGAGGCTGGCTCTGAATTTGCAATCCTCCTGCTTTAGCCTCCCAAACCACTGGGATTTCAGGTGTGTACCACAGTGCCCGGCTTCCATTATTCATCAAAAATACATATATACATATATATATATAGACATATATATAAACATATATTTATATATATACATACATATATGTATATTAGCAATTACTTTGATTCTTAAGCCACTAATTATATTTCCAACAAATCACTACAATATTTTATAGAAACATTTTCTATTGCTCAAATTTTTGGTAAAACTTGCTATAAAATCATCTGGACATTACATTTTAAATTTTAGAATATTTAAAAAATACAAATTAAATTTATTTAATGATTATATGCTTATTCCAGTTTCTATTTTTTATCAGTTTTAATGTATCAATTGTTATTCTAGGAAACTGGCCAATTCATTTAAGTTTGCACATTAATTTGTGTTATGTTGTTCAGAATGTTGTGATTTTTCTTAATTCCTATTTTATTTATTATGCTCTCCTTTTAATTTTTAAATTTATGGCTTCTTTGTTTCTTGAGCACCCTTTCCAGGGTTTTATCTGTAATTCTATTCAGAGATCTAACTTTTTTAAAAAATTTTGTTTTTAGTTATAGAAATATGTTTGTTTGCTTATTTTTATGTGGTGCTGAGGATCGAACCCAGTGCCTCACATGTGAGAGGCAAGCGCTCTGCCACTGAGCCCCAGCCCCAGCCCCAGAGATCTAACTTTTGCTTTTTAAGCAGCTGATATCTTCTTTATTTTTTATTTACTTGATTTTTTTCTCATACCTTTATTATTTCATACCTTTTACTTAATTTGGATTTATTCGGTTTTAGCACAAACATATTAAGTTAACTGCTTAGCTAATTATTTGCTAATCTTTTTCCCTAATATACTCATTAAAACTATAAATTTATCTTTACATGGGGCTTACCTCTAGCCCAAATTTTTGCTATTTATTGTTTTCATTATAGCTCAGTTTTAAATACAGGCAATCTTTGCTTTGCACAGTTCATAAACACAGATTTCTACTACCATATTGTTGTTAAATAGTACCAGTCTCCTAACAACAGGTTCAAATTCAGATATCATGGTATATTAACCACTTAAGCACAAATGTGGTTGCTTACTCCTCAGTCCATAAATCACTATTTCCACCATGATCAATGACCAACCACATCACTCTTTTAAATCCTGCCAGTGTTAGTCACAAATAGCAAAGCATGTACCTATGTTGCCTCTTTATTTCCCAGTGATAAATCTACATGACAGTTATTTTCCAGTGATTAATCCACATGACAGTTTACCAAATTACATAACTAAAAATGGGTATTGGCCAAAGAAGATGAAAGTGCTGCAAAGAAACAAAAAATGACAATGGTAGAAGGGAAATTTGAGTTGAATAAATGGAATTATAAAAGAAACAGTCAGGAATGCTTACACTGCCACATTTAAAATGCAACCAAAGGATTTCACCATCCGCAGGTGAACATATGGAGGAAATGAGGAACGGGGTTGTGATTAAACAGAATGCAAAACATTTCAGAAGAAGTGATATAAGCAAAGCACTTTTAAGGCAAAATACATTAAAGGAACTCTCAGAGATATTTCACTACATTTAAAATAACAAAGGATAAAATGTTTGAAGCTGATCCAAACTTACAAAGATATATAATAATTTGCCAAGGCGTACAAAAGATGCTCACTCATATTGAAAGTTAATGACAGGAAGTAAGTAATATTTATATTCTTGGTAAGTTTTTTTAAAAAACAAAGTAATAAAACACTTTACTTCTCAACGTCTCTATTGTTTTAAATTATAATATACTATTATTTTTACCATTTTTTCCTTTCCTTAAATATTTTTTAAAAATTTTTTTTAGTTGTTGATGGACCTTTATTTTATTTATTTATATGTGGTGCTGAGAATTGAACCCAGTGCCTCACACATGCTAGGCAAGTACTTTTACCACTGAGCCACGACCCCAGCCCCCTTTAAATATTTTTAACCAAGAGTAAACTTTGGTGTTTTTAATGTTTTGTCCAGATATTTTAAAGGTCATAGAACAGCTGTAGCTGTTTATTGATTATTAAGATTACTTTGCATGCTTTTAGCTTGCACAGCTGCCTTTATAATTCTATAGCACCATTCAAAAGGACTGTCTGTACCTCTCATCTTCATTGTGTTATCTTCCTTATCCATGAATTATTTATCAATGTGTTTTAAAATTTCTAAACATAGAGAATTTGGAAGGAGTTTTTTACTTCTAATTTTATTGTATTGGAGTCCAAGTATATAGCTTGTTTGCTTTTTTGGGTACTGAGGATTGAACCTAGGGGTACTTTACCACTGAGCTACATCCCCAGTCCTTTTTATTTTTTATTTTTGAGACAGGGTCTCACTAAGTCACTGAGGTTGGACTCAAGCTTGCAATACTCCTGCCTTAGCCTCTGGAGTCACTGGGATTACAGGTGTGTGCCACAGTACCTGATAAGCAGTTCTCTGGAATTTGTTGAGACTTCTTTTGTGACTCTGCTAAATAATAATGTACATTCTACCATCATGGAATGCAGAGTTTTTACACACACACACACACACACACACACACACACATACCAAACCTGTTAACATTGTGCTCAAAGCTACCTATCCACCTGATTAATTAATTTCTGAAAGAAGGGTATTGAAATTTCCCACTATGACTGTGACTTCTCAATTCTTGATCAAATTCTTTGTAGTTCAACAAATGACTGATGAAATGAAAATAAACTCAGAGTAAAATTTGTTTTCCTTCCTTTGGTTTCTCATATCACTCAATACAAAACCATATTTATGACAAAGATTTGAATCCTAGTTGATTTAAAAAATATTTTCAAGGGCAGCAAACTGAATGATCACTAACACAACATACTTACTACAAAAGGTGTAGGAACGTATCTTGAAAAAAGGTACACAGGAACATCTTTAGCCAGCAAAACTGCAGCAGTGAGTTTAGCAAGCCTAAAAATAAGAGAGATCTCACTTAGTCTTTAGTTTACCACTTTTTATTATTTTATTTTTTATTTTGTTGGTACCAGGGATCCAACCTAGGGGCATTTAATCATTAAGCTACATCCCCAGCCCTTTTTGTATTTTATTTAGAAACATGGTCTTGATAAATTGCTTAGGGCCTCACTAAGTTGCTGAGGCTGGCTTTGAACTCATAATCCTCCTGCCTCAGCTTCCCAAACTTCTGGGATTATAGGCTTGTGCCACAACACCCAGCTTAGTTCCACCACTTTTTAAAAACCAAACTTTAACATAAATAAATGTTTCATATTCCAATTATTCTGAATATATGGTATCTTAATATAAACCAGATCTTATCATCACTGATTATTTAAGCATGTGCTCCAACTTAAAAATGTTAAATAAGTTTTTTGTTTTTTTTTTTTAAAGAAGCTTTGGGCTATGGATATAGCTCAGTGATAGAGAGCCTTCTTAGCTAAGCTTTGCAAGGCCTGGTTTTGTTCCTCCCCAGCACCACACAAAAAGAAAAACAAATCCAACAAAAAATAAGCAAAAAAACAAAAACAAAAACAAAAAAACCAAAAAACAAAACAAAAAGCCCCCTAAACTAAAAGGAACTTAACAATTAACAGAACTGACATTACAATTCTTCTTTTGCTCTCAAATAATCTTTTGATGAGTATTTTACTAAGAAATATAACCTGTAACAGGAATGTAACAAGGTAACAGGAATGGAGGAAAGTGAAATAAAACAAATCCAAAATATATAATTACCCCTGAAAAGAAAATATCACATCATAATTATCTATTATGAAAAAAACTCTAAAAATAACCAAATAAGATTTTAATGCAAGAATACAAGCTACATAATCATTCCTACCCAGTGCCATCACCAATGTTAATTTATAAGCTACAATATTATTCTCAATGTGACCTTTAAGTATTTGAACATTTTACTTCTTTCTGTAAAATTAAACCTTATCTTTGAAATACTTTTACTTCTCTTTCAGCTCTAAAATAAACATTGTCATGTGTTCACACTTCTGTTTGACAGTCTCCTGTTCAGAAATCCTACTATTGGAAAAAAAAAAAAATCTTGTTTAAGTCCACTTCAACTTAATCTTTGAAACAAATTAACACTGTACCTCTGGCTGCTGCAGCTGCTAGTTACTTGACCCCGAGTGTCATATCCAACAACAAAGCCTCTCTGCTTGAAGTCTGAGAAACATCTCTCAAGGTATTTGTACATCCCCTGAAGCAAATAAATACAAAAGATCAGTTCCTGCTGAATGCTTACTTGTGTATTATAAGACTTAAAACCTCTTTATGTTTGGTGTGCATCTTACTGGCTTCTGCCTTTATGCTCATGTTTACTAATGTGGACACAATAATGTTAGATCCACAAATGTGAGTTGACAAACATTTTGTGGATTTTTAGACACATTTAATACGATACAAATATCAATTTAGTAACCATAAAATCCACAAAACAGGAGGGGAAAAAAGATGAAAGCTGTGAGTCAATGGGCTAAAATATATTGTTGAAGAGCCAAAAGAACTCGTTTCTTTATTCAAGGCTCTAGAAAACAGAATTTTAACCATTTAGGCCCTTGCTAAATCATGCCATTGAAGCTAACCAAAAGATCTGACCTATTTATGACACAAATATTTTTAATTAGCCACACAATTCTTCACTGGCACATTTTTTAAGATGGCTGATACCACTTATAATTTTTTAGTTTTAAAATTTTATAGGAAAAGAAGAAGTCAGATTAGAAAAATCTGCAATCAAGGGTGACAAAAAAATGAAATATTTCACATTGAAACTATGGCAATGATAAAATAAAACCATTTATCTTAGAAATGATTTTCTAACTTTAATAAACATTTCATCTCTAAAAATAACACTTATATCCTTACAGTTCTTTAGAATTACACCCAAACACATATCTACACAAGGATAGAAAATTTAATCATTATAACAACCCTGAAAAGAAATGCAAATACCATTTTTGTCTGTCTTAAAATTTCTTTTAAAAAAGAAGAAACAGAATAAGTCTGAAGCTCCATGTAATGACTTGTCCAAGGCCTGTCATTCAATTAAAATTTAAGTTATTAAAGTTTATTGAAGACCTATGATAAAGCCCCAGTGACTTCCAGTACATGGGTCTTTCAAGTACACTTATTTCTTCCAACTATTCCCTATGAGTGATTGGGTGATGGAGACAGATTAATAGAGCCCAAATGGGCTAGTTTCACCAATTTCTTTCTAATGATGACACTATCCTAAACCTTATAGACCCTCATATTATTATCTACTATGAGAATCCATTTTATCTTATTCCCTCACATGCAAAGTATGAAAAGGGTTAGTCCTTATGAACCAGATCTCATTTGGCCTGGTTTATGAGGAAACTCAATATATACATAAAAAAAGACTGAACTATAAGCATTTCTGGTGAGGACAAGAAAGGATATGAAGAAGGGGAAGGTAGGGAAGGTGACAAGTATCCTACCTACCCAGTGCTAACCTGTCATCCGTTCTTCTCCATCCCCTGCATATAAGCCATTGGCTTTAGAACGAGGATAAAGATGATTTCCTGTTTGGCAGTACTGACTAGAATTAATGTCCACTGAGGTATTCTATAGCCTGGAACTATTTTTACTATATGCTAAATGCATTACTGGCCTCAAAGGCGTGGTTCCTTCAAACAGTGAGGATGATTTACTGGGAAGAGAAGCAATTTGTTTCTAAAATAAGTTTCATAAAAATGGAGAGAAATAAAAACAAATTATATTTTGTTATAAAAGAACTCTCAAATGGCTTTGGAAAACCATATCTAAGTAGAATATTTTCAACTAAATTTTCCATACTCTGGTTAACCTTTATGAATACCAGATGCCCAAATGAGTAATTATCTTCTTTCTAAGTTTGCTTGTTTATGTTATCTGGACATATCAATTTATCCATTTCTTGGTTTCAAATGCAAAGTAACTCTGGCAAGAAATGACAATGGCTACCAAAATAACTCTTAATCAGAAACTTAGTCTGTGAACTTGAAGATACAAAAATTACTTCTAAGATTAATCTCAGGCAAGAACAAAGGTCAGAATTTGGTCTATACTCTTTACTTACAGGAGAATACCTCCCCAGACAAAAGGCTCCCCCTCACTGGCTTTTTTTTTTTTTTAAAGAAAGACATTATCTAATTTATAAAGCTGAATGACAGAGTAAGAAAAAATATAATTCATAATACTTACCTGTGTTGATTGTATTACTGTAAGGTCATTAATATAGCAAAATCCTGCCCCCATAGCAGAACGAAGTCCTGCAGTCCCAAAAGTCATTCGGCAGCAAAGACGATCCCGCAACTCCTTATTCATCCCATTCCGTAAAAGATTTTCAATCTGCTCTTTTGTTTTAGGATTCTACAAAAGAAGTTAAAGCTAAATCAGGATTAGAGTCCAAATATCAAAGTCTTCTAAGGGTCCAATATGCATATATCACAAGGTTTTACATTCACTACAAATTCCATAGTGCTACTTATTAAATTAGTCTATACTCTTTACTAACATAAACACAATACCTGGCATTTATTGAGTCCCACAAGGACAGGGCCCATTAAAGGTAATTTACATACTTCTGATTTTTAGAACATTCTTAAATAACATACTCAAGAATGTTCTTCTAAACAATTTGATAAACTTAAGAGCCAAGGATCCAAAATAAACTTGTCAAAAATGACATCATTTAGAATCTATATTAAGTTTTTTGTTTTTTTTTGGTACCAGAGATTGAACTCAGGAGCACTCAACCACTGAGCCACATCCCCAGCCCTATTTTGTATTTTATTTAGAGACAGGGTCTCACTGAGTTGCTTAGCACCTCACTTTTGCTGAAGTTGGCTTTGAACTCATGAGCCTCCTATCTCAGAGATTATGGGTGTGAACCACTGCGCCTGACTAGAATCTTTAATAAATTTTAAAAGAAATATGACTGCTACTGAATAACACCATCAAAACATGCCTACCAATCACCTTACCTAAACCTCTGCAAATCCAAATAACTGGATAAACCTTACTACTCTTTAGAATCATAGAAAACCTTTTAATTTATCTATAGCTGAACATAAAAAGGTCTTAGATATCAAACATATTATGTTGAATTTTCAAAATAGGTTGAGAGGCAGGGCAATGCCGACATCCATATTTTAGGATTCTGTATTTCACTGGCATGTACTTCAACTTGTTTTCATAAATCTTAAGGATATCTATGACTGAAAACAGTGCTTTACCAAAAAGTTGCAGATTTGGGGCTGGAGGTATAAGTTCAGTGGGTAAAGCGTGTGGTTTGCATGTACAAGGCCCTTCATTCACTTTTGAGATTAAAAATATAAATTAAACAGTAGCATATTTTAAACAGAAATGAAATTATAATATAAAATAAAACTTAAATGGAAATTTCTAATATTTTCTTTTTGGAGAGTCAATTTACCAAGAAAATAAGGTAAAATACAACTTCTCTTTCAGGTTAGTATGAATTGAGTCTGTACTATTTATATCTTCTATATCTATAGACTATAATGAATATTCAGAATTAGAATCCAAGGCAGCTAAAAGGTGCTATTAGAGTATATTTATACTTACAAAGACAAAATATATCAATATATAATTTAAACAATACAGTTTTCTGTTTATGTGGAAATTAAAGTAAACAGAGTACATGGTCAAACTAACAACAAAACCATGAAAATTCTGGTTAACTGAAATTTTAATCTAGTTAAAATTGATGGATGTTGAAAATATATATACTATATACATATGTATGTGTATATACACACATATATATATATACTTACACTCAAGAAGTTTCCATTTTAAATGGCACAAACTAAAACTACACCGCTTACATAAAAAGATGCATAGCTCTTAAAAGAAAAATCTAAATAATAACAATATCTGAGTTACTAGCATATAATTCCAAAGTCTAAGATATCACCAGATTTGATAAGGACATCAAAGAGATTCAGAGAAGGTCAACACTTAAAGATTGGCACAAGAACAGCAAAAATTGAGTGGATTTTTCACACATAGGAGATCTACAGCATTATGATACAGTCAGTGAGACTGCAAATCGGGATGATCTTTTTGGAGTGATTTTAAAGCAAAGCATTAAATTTTAAACTGCACATGCTTATTGGCTCACAGATTTTTCTGACCATGGCAATATCTTCATACAAACAAAAATATTTAAACAAGAATATTCACTGCAGCATTCCTACTAGTAGTATCATTATTACCACTACATAGACAAAATTTACACAAGGAGCCCAGTAGCACTGAGCTAGTACTAGAGATTTACTCAGGATTTGAACCTACACCGACTGGTCTAGACTATATTAAGAACTGTATTATCTCAATAAAACAAAATAACTATATTGAGCAGGTAAATAATGCTTCTCATAATAACTTAACTTCAGCTACAAAGCAAAATAATATTTTCGTTATAGCTATAAAATATAAAAATGATACACCAGACACAAATACTATGAACTTACTGAATTTCCTAATGTTTAACTGAACAGCTACTAGGGTAGGGCCTGAAAATTCCATTTCCTACTACAAACCTCACAACGAAATTCCTGGTTCTTACAAGGTTTGTAGGGTTGAGAAAATAAAAACAGATAAAGAATCATGATGCATTAAATATAATTAGTAAACTTGTATGATAAGATGAGATAAATAATTATGATAGCCATTTAAAATCTACTTTAAATTCAGATTTCTCCACTATTTAACAGCCAGATATCAAATTACAAATTTTAAAAAATATAACTTAAAAAAACTATCTATGTAGCCACACTATCTTATATTTTTCCATTCAGGTAATACACTGCATTTGTATTTTGTTGCTAAAATCTTAAGATTTAATGAACTATAAGCAAATTATTATTATTTTTGGGGGGGGGGGATTGGGTACCAGGGATTGAACTCAGGAGCACTCAACCACTGAGCCACATCCCCAACCCTATTTTGAATTTTATTTTGAGATAGTGCCTTGCTTTTGCTGAGGCTGGCTTTGGACTTAGTGCTTTGCTTTTGCTGAGGCTGGCTTTGAACTCGAGATCCTCCTGCCTCCCAAGCTGCTGGGATTACAGGTGTGCACCACTATACCTGGTTTAAGCAAATTATTTTCAAATGTAATTTCCATGCAGAATTCAGATACAGTAAATGAAAAGGAAAGCAGAAGAATTTGTAGAAAAAGAGGTATACGTATATTTATATACCATCCAGAAATATTCATTTTTTTTTTAGCAAAAAAAGGGCTAAAAATCATGATCCTCTGACTATAGCTATGGGTTGTTTGAGTATTTTATGTACATATTACTTAATTTTTATGGTCAAGCCAGTTAAGTATTCATGATGGCTGAGAAAAACAACTACTTGTATGTCTATGTGAATACTTTTCATCTCACAAATTGCCTTTCTTTTCCTACTTACAGAAAGCTATTAATATGATCTGAATTTATAAAACATACTAAAGTTTTCTCAAATATAAATTATTGTTTGCTTTTTAAATGTGCTTTCTTATTCACAATTTATTCTGTACCTAAGGACAAGAGAAACCAGTCAGGAAAAAAAAAAGAATAATAAAATTGGTCAGCTGGCACCAATTATTTAAAAAGTACCCCTAAAACTGTACGTAGTAGCTATTAAATTAACATATTTCAGAATGTACCTATTGACCCATGACATAAAATGAAAATTATTTAGAAGTAAATACGTTCAATCTGAACTAAATTTACTCTTATCTGGCATCTTAGATTCCTAATAATTTTAGTAGCCCCCAAAAGGAATCCTGTAGAAAATCCAGAGAGATTTTAGTGACCCCTAGCATTTTCTGTACTAGCATTTTCTATATGTCATTCATAATGAATAAAATAATTGTTTAATATGAAATCAGTAAGTTGAAGAATATAGAATTAAATTTGTGCATTATTTTCAAATTTTACCTGTATACCAAAAATGTAGAACCTTTAAGTTCTAATCCTATGGATTGCTGTAACTTTATATGGCTGAAATGAAGAAAAGAAAGTGTCCTCTTACATAATACTCATGGAGGTTTTTCCCATATTGTAGAACCATAAGACCCAATTCAAAGAAAATATGAAAGAAATTATTTTTAAAATGTTAAACATATAGAAGGATTTCTTTTAACAAATATAACTTTTTACAGACGTTCATAGATGTGAAGAAAGCTACATGTCAGACCAAAATCACACCAACTCTTCCTGCCATCAAATCAAAGTATCAGCATTCACTTAAGGATCATTTTGGACTCATCAAAGCTTTTTGAACCTATTGTGTTAATAACTAGGGACTCCTGTATTATTTATACACAATAAATACAAACATATATAAAAGTGTGTAAAAAAAAAAGCGATCAAGTTTGCCAATGAGGAATTTACCTTTTTTCTATTTTATAAACCTAATAGTTTTATACTTCCTATACAACTTGAATCTATTTTATTAATATTCTAGTACTAGATCTAACAGCTTAGAAACAATCTAAACCATGACCTTCATTATTTAGAAGATTGGAACAGATCTAAAAGAACATGATATATATTAACAACCCCAAATCCTAATATTGTTATTCATGTAAGGCAGCAAATATACAAAATTGACTCTTTAGTCACTCGAATACATCTAAAGTTATAAAACTACAGATAATATTCTAAAATATCACTGTCAAAGACTTGTGCTTAAATAACAAATATTAATTTAATATAACTTCAGAGGAAAAAATGTAAAGTTTCTTTTTAAACAGAAGTTAAAATAGGAAACTGCAATCTGAAAAGCTGAAGGGTGAACACAGCTTGACATTTACTTCTGAGCGTCAGCCAGCTTGACGATCCATTTCCAGAGTTCTGGAGTAGGGCAGGTTTTCCAAATCAGATGCTTCCTTATTAAGTCCAAAATATAGTCATGCTAAACCAATCAATGTTTTTCATTTAAAGGATTTTTGTATAATTTTAAATTTAATTTCCATATTTTAAAAATTTGGTAGAAATTAGCATGAATTGGCTTAGATTAAAAAAAACTTGAATGACTATACTTTTCATACAAATGAGATTTACTTGAATAATCAACAAATACAAAAATCAACCAAGGAAATGAAGATGTTAACTATCTCCAAAACAGAAAATAAGCCTTGAAATATAGCATAGTGTTAGCACTTACGCATAATATTGGATATGCCAAGATTAATGTGAGAGATAAAAATTATAATGTTTATTATTTTAAAAGTTAAGCTACCTCATAGTCCTCATAGTCCTCAGTAACTTGCTAAGTTGAACTTTGAAATCCTCCGGCCTCAGCCTCCCAAGCCACTCTGTGTGTGTCACCATGCCCAGTACTAAAGAGTC